AGATTTATTTGGGGTTTATAGATTTACTTTGAACCTTTGGGGTTTATAGATTTAGGGTTTAGGGTTTAGGGTACTTTATGGTTTATAGATTTATGCAGCTTGAAGTGTTTAGGATTTGGGGTTTATAGTGTTTTGGAATTGAAACTACAGGTATGTTAGAGTTAGACTGACTGGCATTGCTGCATGATCCGACTTCACTTCTGGTGGCAGCCTTCGACGGGTCTACACATTGAGACAAATCTTGTCTTGTGGACCTGGACCAAAGACTAGTCCTCAACCCCAGGCCCTAAACGTTAAACGGAACACTCCCACAGCTGACTGATGAAGGGGCTTGATGAATGCCGCAGGGTTCTTGAAAACGGTTCCTTATTGGATTCGGTAAGGGTTATTCGAAATGCTTCATCATCATATAGGGCTTATGATACCTCAAGGGCCTTAATACTTAGAACAGTGCCTCGAGATCCACCACGTCACAATGGCATGAGGGACTATACGAGGGCATCTACATGAGTTGGGCCTCGCACTTTGAGCCACGTTTCCAGATGCCAGGGACGCTTCCAAAGTCCGCCTGTGCAAGATGGCAGAAGCCCCAAACACTAAGAGTTACCGGCTTTACGGCCTAGGCTGGCGGGTTTCGCGGTCGTAGGCTTCAGGGTCTAAGGGCCCGCAAAACGGCAAACCTCAAACGGCCCTGAGTCGAGCCACACGCTCGTGGCCCTAAAGACCCGCAAGCCCTTACAATATCCCAGGAAACCTTCACTCAAAATCCCACGATACTCTTCAAATGCCATGTCATTCCCTTTTGATAACCCAGAAATGTTGAACTACCCATGTAGGCCTTGATTACTCAACCCCCTTTCCTGAGGGCCTTAGCAGTTGGATCCCGATGTTCAGCAGTATCAAGGGAAGTGCTTTATTCATAAAGTGAACCCTGCACGCTCCAACCGCACGTCTATAAGACCAAGTATGTGCAGAAGTACGAATCCCTTGCAAATACTGTCTAAATCGAGGTGTTTTGGCAGACAAGGGCTTTTATGTTCGGATGATAGCTTAGGAAAAACAAATCATCCAAGTGCACTACCTTCCGAGCGGACTGGCGGGCAGAAATCGCGGCAATGACAAGTTTTGCTGAGACCCCCAGTCCCCCACTGCACGCCCTCCCATCCGAAACAGAATCTTGTAACACAGCACGCTTCTCGTTTCTCGCACCCGACGGAACAGAAAGCTTTTGTGAACGCTTCCAAAAAAAGCGGTCTGCACTTGTCTCAGAACAGTGTAGACCTTGGACGCCATCATGGTTAGGCCATGGATTCTCGCCTGTCAGAACTCATCAGACAATGGACATCGTCATGGTTGGGCCATGGATGCTCTCTGCTGACAATGCATCAGACCATGGATGTCAGCATGGTTGGACAATGGACGCTGTCTTCTAAGACCATGGACGTCGTCATGATTAGGCCATGGATGCTGTCTTCATCTCTCTTCTCAGAACGCAGTAGACCACGCACGTCATCATCGTCGGGCCATGGATGCCCTCTTCTCCGAACGCATTAGGCCATGGACGTCATCATGGTTGCGCTATGGATGCTCTCTTCTTCGCATGCAGTAGACCATGGCAGCCCTACATTGCGGAGGTGCTTTCGCGCATGGAGGGCGCGCAGAATTTGCGGCCTAAACGCCAGCATCACACGAAAGGATGCGGGTTTCAGCATGTCCTGTTCTGGGGCGCAACAACGTCCGGCTTGAGGGCCAAACCCTAAACCCTATAAAAACCCTGACATACAGCCTCGAGATTGAAAAACGGCTAAAAACCCGATGCCGGAATCCGAAGAGGCCAAAGGAGCCTCGAGAGCATTTGGAGAAGCTCCAGGGATTGCTGCCAGCGACAGCAGCGCCTGTGGAGACTTCGGCTCTGAGAGTCGAGGACTCTGAGATCTTGGCACGCAGGGTTTAGGGTTTAGGGTTTAAGCCTTCAAGATTCTTTAGGATTTTGGAGCTTCAGGCTTCTAGGCCTGTCAGGATGTAGGGTTTGGGACCAACTTAGGGTTTAGGGCCCAGGGTCGAGGCTTTGGTGTTTACAGCTTCATTTACTGCTGCATCGGGCCTCGCCCATACAATTTCTACAACTTGGCGAGACATGCTACTAGTTACCAGGGGTTGCAAGCGCTACTGACGTTGCTGTTACTGCGGCCGATGCCGCTGTTACTGACCTAGCATTTCGAAGAACCGTACCACGAAGCTATGGCAGCACTGTGCCTGCTACATGCAATATAGCACTGCGGCTGTCTCAGCTTTGATGAAGGGGGTATGGAGGATGCCAGCGGCGGCGATGAAGATGAAGGGGGGATGCACTTGTAGCGAACCCCCCCCCCCCCCCCTGTTGCTAAGACGACGGCGGCGACGTCTGCCGCTGCTGCTCCTGCTACTGCTACTACCACTGCGACTGCCCCGAATCCTAAACCAGAGCATTGAAATCCTGATCCTTGGTCTCATTTCCAGCCAGGTCACGCGGAAGCCGAGCTGCTGCTGTTGATGCTAATGGTCGTCAAGCCCAGGCTCCTCCAACTGCACAACTAAAGAGGTTCGAGGGTTCAGGGAGTTCGGTTAAAGTTTTCTGTTCGCTGGGTTTAGGGCTTATCATTTGGCGGTCAAATTTGTGTCCGATCGTAAGGATTAGGGTTCTTGATACAGTATCCAAGAATTCTGCCCGCAATTTAACCCTGAACAACCGCAATCAATTCCGTAAATACATACATGCATGCCTGCATGCGTACCTATTGCGTATCGTACCATGTGCTTATGCTGATATACATAAACATACATTGACATGCATACACATGTGGGTTATGCATATACATTTTTTGTACGTATTCATATACACATACATATATAGGTATACACATACATACATGTGTGCGTGTATATGTTTATATGTGTGTGTTTTGTGCGTACCCTAAGGGCCCTATAACCCTACAGCCTATACAGCGTCATAGCATCCCATGTGCCACCTGTACACAAAATCATAGTACCCTTATAACTGCTCGTAACACCCAAGGGCCGGAGACAAATGTTCGGAACTCACAACAAGGAACCCCAGAAAGCTAGGTTAAACCCTAAACCCCAAACCCCTAAACCCTTTCGTTCGCTCCGGCTCGATGCAGACCGCAGCAAAGCTGTAGCCAGGGCCCAGGGCGCTCCCAAGGCCGCGGCGTTGAAGGCGACCTTGCGATGGGTTTGGTGAGGTATTTGGGGTTTAGGGTTTAGGAGTTTTTGGGTTTAGGTGGTGCTTTCTATGGGGCGTTGAGTCTGAGGCGCCCTGTTCTTACGGTGTTTTTTCTCTGCTTTGATGGAGGTTTAACGAGTTTATAGGGTGTTCAAGGGGTGTATATGGGGTTTTGGGGTGGGTTCAGGTCTTTGTTAGGTTTGGGGGTCGAGGGTTCGGGGATGTGCCCCCGAACCTGCACGGGCACACAAGAGCACTCGAGGGTCCATTTCTCGATCTATGCTTAGCAGGGTTGGGTTTAGGGGAAGCAATCCCACTATGCATTATTAATCACAGTACTGTCTGGTGTAATTTGAAGGAATACTTGTATACGGACATGCACCTACTTGTACATGGCTGTACTTATGAAGTCTAATTGTCATTTACCTCGAAGTAAGACCTCGAAAGTAATTTCTTTACATTCCCGTACAGTTGTGTTACGCTCCTGTACGCGAGAAGGCTTGAGCTGAGCATTCAGGCTTAGGCTTTTCGAGTGAGAAAGACCCCATGAAACCCTCTAAGGTAACTCCTAGACCCTAGCGGCCCCAAAGCCTACGGCCTACACTTCTCCCTAGACCCTACCTTATTAGTAGGCTATGACCGCCACAATAACAAGGCTCAGGCTTAGCCCTTGGATCCCAAAAAACATCTCATCCAAACCTGAACCCGAAGCCCTCAATCGGAACCCTAACTCCTGAACCCTAAACTCTCCTTCTCTCACGCATGTGAAAGTCCGGTGCGAATGATGCAAGCCACGAGCAGGCAAGCCTGCAGCAAATTCAAAACAAACCAATCGCCCCTAAACCCTAAATCCTCAACTCTAAACCCCCTAAGGCCCAGGCAACGTCGGCGAAGGGGCGCCGCGCTAAGAAAGCTAAGGCGAGGCACCACTGGCCTCTTAAGGACGGAAGACAACCCTAGACCCTAAACCCTAAACCCTCAACCCTAAACCCTCGAAGGCTTCCTTCAAGGGAGCCTTATAAGCGGTCCATTCCTCTAAGGGGGTTCCTTGTGGGTTGTTTAGAGTAAGGACACAAAATCGACCCTAAAGGGGTTCCTTCGAGGGTTTCCCTTTGAAGATTGCCCAAAAAAAGCTCCTTTCAGGGTTCCCTGTGGCTTGTTTAGGGTCCCGGGTTTAGGGCTCAATGACCATCTAGGGATTCACAGCATAACGGTAGAGGGCCCCTGAGCTCGAAGAGGATTCTACATGGTGGTTGAATTAATGGGGCTTTCAAGCATTGAGTATGCATGTATGTATGCATGCATGCATGTATGTATGGATGGATGTATGTATGTATGTATGTATGTATGTATGTATGTATGTATGTATGTATGTATGTAGGTATGTATGTACTGTATGTACGTACAGATATTGATTATCTAGTTACTTAAGTATTTAGCTAGCTCGATGGATTAATGGTTGATGAATTACCAATTCGGCGAATAGGACGTAAACAAGGAGTACACAAACCTTCATCCCATCAGCCGTCATCCCTAAACCCTAACCCCGAACCTCAAACCCCAACACTAAACCCTAAACCCTAAAACCCTAAACCCTAAACCCTCAGACCCTAAACCCTGAACCCCTACACCCTTTAAAACCCTACACTCTTTCTCCCACGGCTCGCCTCCGTTGCTGGCCGCGCTGAGCGCTGCGTTAAAGGCTGCCGGCGCCGGCCGCGCGGGAAGCGCAGACAGCGCAGCCCTGGTAAAGGCTGCTAGTAACATCTAATATAGGTGTCTAGTGACAGGGTTTTTTTCGCTTTGACGAAGGTGGTATGCATGTACGTATGTATGTATGTGTGTATGTGTGTGTGTATATATATATATATGTATATGCATACATACATATATACATACACATACATATANNATATATATATATAGGTGCGTAAGAGGGTTCTAGAAGGCTTTCGTAGGTGTCTCACGATGTCTGGTTATCGCAGATTCCGAGGGGGTGATTTCACCATTGCTGCAGACCTCCTTAAAGGGTTGAGGGGATCAAAGCGTTTCATAAGTTTCATGGCTGGGTTTCATGGGATTGGTGGTTCTGGGGTCGCGGATAAAGGGTTTACAGGAGAGAGAGCGAGAGAGAGAGA